CGTGGTGGTCTGATCAAACCCCCCCTCTCTCTCTGTGTGGACCCCCCCCTCCCTCTCTCGCTCTGTGTGGACCCCCCTCCCTCTCTCTCTCTGTGTGGACCCCCACCCCCCCTCTCTCTCTCTGTGTGGACCCCTCCCTCTCTCTCTCTCTCTGTGTGGACCCCCTCCCTCTCTCTCTCTGTGTGGACCCCTCCCCCCCTCTCTCTGTGTGGACCCCTCCCCTCTCTCTCTCTCTGTGTGGACCCCCTCCCCCCCTCTCTCTGTGTGGACCCCTCCCCTCTCTCTCTCTCTGTGTGGACCCCCTCCCCTCCCCTCTTTCTCTGTGTGGACCCCCTCCCCTCCCCTCTCTCTCTGTGTGGACCCCTCCCCTCTCTCTCTCTCTCTGTGTGGACCCCTCCCTCTCTCTCTCTCTCTGTGTGGACCCCTCCCCTCTCTCTTCTCTGTGTGGACCCCCTCCCCTCCCCTCTCTCTCTGTGTGGACCCCTCCCTCTCTCTCTCTCTCTGTGTGGACCCCTCCCCTCTCTCTCTCTCTGTGTGGACCCCCTCCCCTCCCCTCTCTCTCTGTGTGGACCCCCTCCCCTCCCCTCTCTCTCTCTCTGTGTGGACCCCTCCCCTCTCTCTCTCTCTCTGTGTGGACCCCCTCCCCTCCCTCTCTCTCTGTGTGGACCCCCTCCCCTCTCTCTCTCTCTCTGTGTGGACCCCTCCCCTCTCTCTCTCTCTCTGTGTGGACCCCCTCCCTCTCTCTCTCTCTCTGTGTGGACCCCTCCCCTCTCTCTCTCTCTGTGTGGACCCCCTCCCCTCTCTCTCTCTCTCTGTGTGGACCCCCTCCCCTCTCTCTCTCTCTGTGTGGACCCCCTCCCCTCCCCTCTCTCTCTGTGGACAGGACGAGGAGGCTCGACAGTTTGGAGGAGGATTCTTCCCAGGTAAGAGACACACCTGCAGTGCATGCTGGGTAGAGAGGATCAGGTTAGGAGGTCAGTCTGAGTCCTGTAATCATGACTCCTCCCCTTTGGACCCATCAGGTCCTGCTGGGTTCCCGGGAGGAGCTCCTGCTGGGATGCCCGGTCTCGGTGATTTCCTGAAGGATCCTGAGCTGCTGAACGCCATGAAGGTCGCTCATCTGTTCAATCTTTGTTTTCTTTCTTTGAACTTCCTGTCTCTAAACTCTCTGTTTGCTTTAGGACCCCGAGGTCATGGCCGCCTTCCAGGACGTGGCTCAAAACCCGGCCAACATCGCCAAGTACCAGAACAACCCCAAAATCATGGCGCTGGTCACCAAGCTGAGCGCCAAGTTTGGAACTTCACCTCAGCCGTAAAAAAGACCAAAGAAGAAGAAAGGGGGGCGGCTAGACCTGCTGCTGTGTTCTGCCTGTTTGCGTTTAGCCCAGACCGAGACCTCCTCCAGACCCAGACCTCCTCCAGATGGTCAGCCCAGACCCAGACCTCCTCCAGACCCAGACCTCCTCCAGATGGTCAGCCCAGACCCAGACCTCCTCCAGACCCAGACCTCCTCCAGATGGTCAGCCCAGACCCAGACCTCCTCCAGACCCAGACCCAGACCTCCTCCAGATGGTCAGCCCAGACCCAGACCTCCTCCAGACCCAGACCCAGACCTCCTCCAGACCCAGACCCAGACCTCCTCCAGATGGTCAGCCCAGACCCAGACCTCCTCCAGACCCAGACCTCCTCTAGACAGTCAGCCCAGACCTGGATCAGAAGAACCTGGATCACATAAAACCTGGATCAGAAGACGTTGACTCGGCTGTTGGTACTTTTTGTTACGATTATTTTCTTTAACGTTTAAAACTTGTTCTCGATGATTCTCGATTAATAAACCCGCTCAAACAAAAAGACGTCTGTTTGTCTTTAAACACGTTTCAACCTCTGGATTGTGATTGGATGAAAGACACGTCTGGTCTCACGCTCCCTAACTGACCAATCAAAATCAAGAAGGGGCAGGACTTGTTTCAGGTGTGGATCTGATGTCGGGACACGATTCATGTTTCCTCAAACTTAAGTAAATCTTAAAACCAGAGGTTAACGCTGGTTACCTAGCAACAGTGAGCGCTGGTGATTCTTCAGGTTAATAAAAAACACAATAAAGACGTGAAATCAATTATTTTAGTAAACAAACTGAAGGACATCGAGACGCTCATCAGGAGGATTTAAACTCTCCGTCTGTCGGGTTCTTTAGGCTGAGCGCCCAGGAGGCTCAGGTCAAAGGTCGCAGTTTAAAGGATTTATTTTGTAGCTCAGGTTGGTGATCTGAGAGATCTACAGGTGTTTGTCCACCAGGGGGCACCATTTAGCTAGAAAGAATTCACATCAGTCTGTTTCCTTCAGCAGGTGTAAACTCACCTTTATCATTTCTTTTTATTTTTTTTATCAGGGAGGTCAAACAAAGTTCACAAAGATAACAAATATATGATGACATCATACAGGTCAGTGTATCAGATCAACAAATCATGATCTTCCAGCTGTTGCTCATTTGACTTTACAACAAAATATAAACATCAGAACTAAAGAAACAAAAGCTGTCACACTGACTCCTTTCTCCACAAAGATGCATCACGACGTCTCCTCTGTAACTGAAGCACATCGGGGGTTAATGTTCACATTTCACAATACTTCAGTTTCTCTGTTTTTTATAGAAAATGTTTTTAAATTTCATAAACACTTTAATACCAGTCCTCTAATGTTGGAGCGTCTTGTTGTAACTTTTTCCTTGTCCAGGATAGGGATTAGGGGATGGGGTTTAGGGGTTAGGGGATGGGGATTAGGGCATGGGGTTTAGGGGTTAGGGGATAGGGGTTAGGGGATAGGGGATAGGGTTCTCATCAAGTATTTGTCTGCTGCTGATTGAATATATCGTCAGAAAATCAAATGGAATAGAGATTTAAAATATAGTTTCTAAACATTTCTGAACGTCCTGCCAATAAGACTTCAGTTTTCTACATTCCTTAAATAAATGATAATGGTTCAAATATTAAATCTGAACCACATAACCTCCAACACTTTGTTCCAGTAACGTCTCTTTTCCCTCCAGCTGTGTGACCACGTCGTTTCCTTCTTCTTGTTCCCGTTTGAACATTCAGGTGTTACAACTTAAAGAGTCCAGAGAACTTCTATATAATCTAGATATTATTCTATGTCCACTCTCTGGTTTGTAAGTTGTCACAAAGACATTTATATCATTTTATATAATATATATTATCATATTTATATATTTACTTTCCCACATGCCTCTGTCCCGATGTCTCACCTGTAAATATCTAAAAGAATCCTGGTTCTCCAGTCCAGTCTCTTTTCCACCCTGCATCAAGTTAACCCTTTACTCTTCCATGTTTTAAATCTGGAGTCTGTCCTGTTTGAGAAGTCCTCATCGTACTCTTCAGGTTAACTTTCTCACATATTTTGTTTTAATCTGTGAGGTTGTCATGGTGGAGCTGGAGATTCTTCTATTTCCTTAAACTGTGAATCACAGAAACACACCTGAGGTCTTCATTGAGCTGCATAGTAAACGTTTACATTTGGTGATGCCATTCCTCTTTTTCTTTGGTTAATTGGGTTACTTGGTATTTTATTCTTGGTTTATCCATATAAACTGAGATTAGTTTATATCTCCCTCTTGCTCAGTTAGCTTATCTTCCAGTCTCCGTTTAGTTTTTCCAATCTCTTATTTCTCCAAGTCGTTGGTTGTTGTCTTGTCGAAAACGTTTGATCTCGGCGAGTTTGGTTTTCAGATTGATGTCTGCCTCCTCTTCCCCGTTAGCACCGGCCGGTGAGCCACAGCTAGCGCTAGCACTCGTGACTCCTGTTTTCGTTTGGGTTAACGTGCACTTTTTTTTGGTTTTGGCTTTGATTTGTCACACATCAACATTTGACCCTTCTCCATCTCTTGGTGTTTAAACGAGTGACTCTGAAGCTGCAGTGGAACTCTCACCTTTCATTCTGAGTCGTTCTCACTCAAATCAAAACCAGGTGTGTGTCAACAGTAATGTTTATTTGTGTACTTACAATAAATCAAAACAAACAGCGAGTTTAAAACAAACACAGGGAGCAGGATCAGAAGGATCAGGAGGAGAACAGGTGAGAAAAGATGAACGATAACAGAACTAATGTCCGTACCTGAAAAGAGAGAAAGAGAGGGCGAGCTGTGAGTACACCTGTTCATTTAAACACACACACACTTTAAAAACACACAGTGTGTGTGAGGTGGGACCTACTTCTGAAACTCCCACTCCCTGTTATCCAGAGGACACACCTGTCGAGTCTTCAACCAGCGAGAGATACAGTGGAAGTGAAAGGCATGCTGGGAAAGAATCAGTCTTTACTAAAAACATCACGGTTGTTATTTACAGAATGTTTGAATCATCAGAACATAAAGATCCAGTTCAGAAACATTCAGGTGTGGACACTCACGTTGCAGACGCCCCAGGCTACAGTACACTCCTCAGAGGTGGCAGACGCTTGGTTCGCCTGACACTCTATACCTGAACATGGACGAGAGAGGAGGTCATGACGAGAGCGAGAGCGAGAGAGACAGAGAGAGAGAGAGAGAGACAGAGAGAGACAGAGAGAGACAGAGAGAGAGAGAGAGAGAGAGAGAGACAGAGAGAGAGAGAGAGACAGAGAGAGAGAGAGAGAGAGACAGAGAGAGACAGAGAGAGACAGAGAGAGAGAGAGAGAGCAGAGAGAGAGAGAGACAGAGAGAGAGAGAGACAGAGAGAGAGAGACAGAGAGAGAGAGAGAGACAGAGAGGAGAGAGACAGAGAGAGAGAGAGAGAGAGAGAGAGAGAGAGAGAGAGAGAGCACAGAGAGACAGAGAGACAGAGAGAGAGAGAGAGACAGAGAGAGAGACAGAGAGAAGAGAGACAGAGAGACAGAGAGAGAGAGAGACAGAGAGACAGAGAGAGAGAGAGAGCAGAGAGACAGAGAGAGAGACAGAGAGAGAGAGACAGAGAGAGAGAGAGAGAGAGAGCAGAGAGAGAGAGAGAGAGA